CGGATGTTGGTATGACTAGACTAACTCAATCCCATGTAGCATACACCCTCAACACCTCTAGGGAAGTCAGTTTGCCAAACGCAGGCTTGCTATAGAGCTTATTCATTAGGCTAAGTGGAATGGATAAGGCCCTGCTCAACAAAATTCTCTATAACAGGTGAAAAGTAACAAGGGGAAGTTCTAACCTCCACCTCCATAGCGATCTCCTCAGAATCTTGACTCCTAGGACCCGATGAGGCACCTATACTATGGGGTAAAGAGGAACACTCCTTAGATCGTGTTGGCCTAAATGTATCGTATAAGTGAGATATGGGGTTTCCACTACCCCATATTGGACTATCATCATCAACTATGGGAGTGTTAGAAGATCTCTGAATGGAATCCCCAACTCCTATCCCGTATATCTGATGGGGGGAAGATTATCTGGTAGTAGTCTGACATAAGAAGTCTTCTTTCTCATCTGAGCTAATATCAATAACCAACCCATATTCAGGTATTAAATGGCTACGAAAGGTAGGTCGTGAATCATAACCAGTGGAATATATAGGTGGTGAAGTGACTAGACGATAAAAGATATCAATCATTTCATCGTCGGAAGAGTTGGACTCTACTGTCAAAGAAGAAGTGTAAAGGTGTGGGGGACGAGAAGTCTGAGTGTCGTGGTTCCACAGCTCACGGATTGAAACTCTACCTCTACCCCTACCTCATCCTCCCCTACCTCTACTAGGGGAACCATTATACCTCATTGCAAACTGAGAGGGATCTCTATCAGAATGGGCAATGAAAACACCTGGCTAATTACTAACCTGTGATGGACCCTGTACTGACGATTGTATAGAACCCTGTGCAGGTGGATGCATAGGAACCTGTACAACACTAGAGGGTGTCACTGGTGACTTAGCAGGTGGAGCTCTACGAGTCTTTTGAGGTACATAGTACTCGGCATCATCGTACATAGAGATCTCATGCATAGAAAAAGGCTGGGTATCCCCAAGAATGTTGTACTCAACATCGTTCCTCATAAACTTCATACATTGGTGCAAAGTAGAGAGCACCATTCCATACTCATGGATCTAAGGCCTTCCTAAGAGAGCCCTGTATGAAGTATCAACCTCAATTACATGAAACTTGGCCTTAGTTAAGAAATTTCTAAACTTCAGAGGCAGGGTGATAGACCCTAGAGCTCGTTGTTCTTGGTCATTGAAGCCTTTCAATATAATCTTGTAGGAGGCGAGCTTCAAATGACCTAGGGAGAGGCTCTTTAAAGTTTCATATGTTAGAATATTTACTGAAGCCCCTTAGTTTATGAGGACTCTGTTCAACTCATAACCATTGACTTCAGCAGTGACATACAAGAGAAGATTATGCTAAGTAGTCCCTAAAAGGAGATCACGACTAGAAAATATAATGCATGGCATATTATATAAATGTCATGCCTCATCAGTGGGGTCGGAAACAAAGAATGCTTGATAGGACTCTAGCTCAAGCAAGACTTTTACCATTGTCTCTCTCAAGTTAGGTGACATCATCAAAGCGTCATAAATACTAAGAAGGGAAGGAATCTTCCTTAGATGAGTCAACACATTGTAATCAACCTCCAACTGAGGGTCTTTTCCTTTCTCCTTAGACTGCTTCTAGGAGGAAGGGATAGGATCGTTCTGCTGGGTAATAATATTCTTATCTTTTATATTCTTAACCAACCTATATGGAAGGACCTTCCATGAATACAGATGAACTTCCTGTATTGAGTCATCCTCAACAGGAGATTCCTCTTGTTCAATAGTGGTGGCTGGTGTTGGCTCTAAGAAAAGTATTGTGAGTGGGTTCTCGGATTCATCTTCTGAATCCATGTAACATCCACCATTTGGAATTACAAAGATTGGTTCATCTTCATACTCATACTCAGACTCTTCACTAGAATCATTCACATCATAAGAGACATGTAAAGCATGAAAAGATTGAGTAATAGAAGAAATTGAAGTATAAGTAGAACTAGAAGTAAAAGTAGTAGGAAAAGAATACCAAAAATAGCTAGAATCACATTCTTCTATTATTTCTTCATCAAATGAAGGGAGAACAAAGTCCTTCAGCATAAATGTTGGAAGGAACCCTGTCTTCCCCTTTGAGGTTACAACATATTTTTTCTCTTTCATACATTTTTCTATCATAAGTAAAACTAGAAAAAGAAATGTGCTCATCTGGCACAACAATAGTAGAAGAATAAGGTATAAGTGCTGGCGTAGTAACTGGAGCGACAATTATCGACTTGGCCTGGGGTGGCCTCCTCTGACCTGCCTCTGACTTCTGAACTGCACGGTCAATTATCTTCTTGGTCTTTTTGGAGAGTGCTAGCAGCCACTTTCCCTCAAACTTGTAGTGTAAACTGCCACCACTACCCTGACTGTCACCGTGGTTGGGACTGTGGTAGGGACTGGAGATCATCTGAATTATCTGAGGGCCCTTGCCCTTGGGCTACACCAAGTCATTATCCTGGAGGTGTATTTGTCATGTGGCTATCAACCTCTTAACTCTATCCTTGAAGACATAGTAGTCCTCTAACACATGCCCAATAGGTCTATGGTAAGGACAATAGAGTGGGTGCTCAATCTGACTCTCTTCCTCCACTCTATTATTATTGGAAAATATCAAAATATTCCTCTTAGTAAGAAATTTAAATATTTTTCTAACACTTTCATTTTTAAAGGGATATTCCTTACTAAGCTTCTCCTGTAGGTACTGCTGACTCTCTGGAGTCCTACGGGAGGTCCTAGGCTGTACTACTGGCTGGTTAGTGGAGTGTGACTGCTGCTGTGATACTAAACTGACTAAGGGCCTCTTGTCCTTATCTGGTGGTCCCTGAGTACTATGTACCTCCCCTCTTCTAGGGGAGGTGCCCCTTAAAACTTCTACAGCTGAGGTCTGCGCGAAGGCTGACTCTAAACCTTAGGAGGTACTACATCGGGTATGCTATCCTAAAAACTAGTGACATTGGTCAATAGCTTCTGAAAGGTTCGGATGGTAAAATCTTTCAGATATGGAGCAATGAGACCATCTATATTCTTCAATAGAATCTTAACTACGTGCTCCTCCTGTAATTATGGCTCACACTGCAAATTTAGGTTCCTCCATCTGACTATATAATCTGGCAGTGGATCCCTAGGACACTGTCTTGTGACTACTAACTCTCATACAGTGACCTGGTGCTCTACACTAATAAATCTCTGTATGAACAACTGCTCCAGCTTTGTAAAAGTCTGGACAGAGTCGTTGGGGAGGTTGGCGTACCAAGCAAACGCCACCCCTGTCAAGCTGCTGACGAACAATCTTAACATCAACGGATCATTCTCTCCTATATTGCAACATATGTCCCGATACTGAGCCACATGCTGCCTCGGGTTCCCAAGCCCGTCAAACACTCTAAACCTAGGAGGGATGAAACCAGGGGGTAGGTCTCATGCTCGTACTCTACAAGGTAAGGACGCCCTCTGCTAACTGTCTCACTAGTTTTCCTGGAGAAAATCGTTTGCTCTACCTTCTAGGCAATCAGATCTTGAAGCTGACCTGCTAACAACTGAGCTGGCTGACTCTAAACAATTGGAGGTGCTGCAGGAACTGCTCTCTGAGCCCTGTCCACTCTCACGGGGTCTAGTGTAGCTGGGGGCACTACTGTATGATCTCTAGAAGTACTGGTTGCAACTACACCCATCATATAGGGCATCGCTCCCAAGGTTGTCAACTACACTATCATAGCCGCCATAACTTTGGTCATCTCTGTCATCTGTTCTTGAAGGTTCATAACTGTAGCATCCGTATCCACTAACCTGGGAGATTCACCTACCTCGGGCTCTCCCTGTTTATCTTGGTCCTCGGGCTCTCTCTACTCATTCGAGTGACCTCTACAGGTAA